TGTGTGTGTCTGTCATCACCTTTTAGGACAGTAAAAATGCTTAGATTTTCTTCAACAGTATCTTTTCTGATACGTTTCGACAACATTTATTTTGATTTTTGGTGTAATTCTAAAACAAATGAACGTAGATACATGAAATTTTGACTGAATGCTTAAATTAGCATTTTTTATAAACCATACAATTTTCAAAATATTTTAACTCTTATTGATAGATGTTTAAGGACATTGTAAGTTTTCAATTCTTTTAGTTTTTTTCTCTATAAATATAAATAATAAAATTTTATTTGTGGTGTAAAACTGCATCAAACATTAATACATGACTCCTGATATATTGTTACAATAGCAGTCATAAAATATTAAAAATACATGGGCACAATTTTTTTTTTCATAAGCATTTAAAGTTCAAATTTTGACAAAATGTATCAAATATAAAATTTAATAATTATTTTGTAGTTTAAAATTGATAAAATGTTCAACTTTTATATCTAATGATTGAAAATTTAAAACAAGGTTCCACGTAAATATTTTATATATAAATTACTTTATTCAAAATAATATCACCAAATACTTAGTAATATTCTATAATATCATAGGTTGACTGACGGTCTCAGCTCGGAATCGTTTTTCTTATACAATGATATTAGGTATATCATTAAATTCAAGTGACACACTTGTAGTATACTGTACAGCAGAGCAAAATGTACTGACATACCAGTATCAGTATTATTTATTTAATAAATACCATTGTGTCTATACAAAAAACTTTGTAGCGAAGACAGTCAGCCTATGATATATTACTAATAGTAAGTATATTTGATGATAATATTATTGTGAATAAAGAAATTTATATATAACCTATTTACCTTTTTTTTTTTTTAAATTTTCAATTCTTAGCTATAAAAGTTGAACACAATATGAAATAATTATGAGAAATATATTATTTTTTTATTGTGTAATTTATAGAATATAAATAGAGCAACGGTGGCCATTTGAAGCCGGGCCATCTACGGTCTTAAAAATGAAACCATTTGTTCCTAAGCAAGAAAAAAAATATATTGAACCAAAAATATAAGTTTAAATACAGAAAGATGAGCTCAAGAATGGATGGTTTTTGTAATTCAAAACAAGGAGACATTTTCAGTTTTCAAATACAAGAATGATAATAGTTCTGCTCTATATATTACTATATTTAACTTTAGTTATGATTATTATATTTTAGAAACAAGAAGAAATAAAATTTCTTGACCTCAATTTTTTAATAATTTCATTTGTATCAAAATTAAAAATGTTGGATAAACAATGATAGTTAGGCCACACAACTTTTACAAGTCGCCTATCCCGAAAACTTAAAGGTCTCATTATTAAATGATTGGAAAAATATTACCACTTGTCTGTCCAAAAGCTGTTAATCTATCAGTTTTTAATGTTATTATTACTGAGCATAATATAATAAAATATAAATGATTTGTTCGACACACGAGTTTACAGGAAAAAAGTTTTTATTTAAAGAATATTTGCGAATATTTAGTTTCTTTGGCATATCTTGGGATAAATTGTAAATGGTGAGAAAAAAATTAATTTATTATTAGCAATTTTAATTTTTTTTTATCATTGGTCAATAAATTAAAATAATAAAAAAACATCTTTTCAAAAACTAAAAACGATTTTTCCTGACATTTAAGAGAATATTTGATTAATTTGTTGGTATATAGTTGTATCATATTATATTATTTTCAACTTTTACATTTATTTTTATATTATATTATATTTTTTTTATTTATCATAAATATGTTTTTAAATTCTTAAATATTTTTTTTTAATAGTCGAAACTAGTAAGACAAATGTATTGTAAATATCAAATGTATTGTTTATATTGACTGGAAATAGCAAAATTAATAAGTTTGGGGAAAAACATGTTGCTTTTAATAACATTTAAACGGAAAAGGAATTACGGATATGGTTTAATACAATAGGTACAAATTTGAACTTAAATTATATATTTAAAAAAAAAAAAACAGTGTTTATATGATATTTAGATTTTTTTGAAAATATACTTATGAGTTATGAGAAATATTTTGAACTTGTAATCCTTGGCTATAAAAATCTAATATTTTATACATTTTAAACTTTATAATAATTTGCAAATTTTCGAGACTAGGTAATTTTGTCAACATTTTAAGTATCATTACTTAAAAAAAAAAAATGCCCATGTATCTTTAATATCTTTTAACTACTATTGTGATAAGTGATAACTTATGAGGAACCTTGATATACATTTTCAAATTTTAGTAATAAATGTAAAACATTTTATCGATATTTTAGAAAAAAATGTTACCTATATGCTTGACGCTGCTCATTATTTTCCCCTTCGAAGCAGTGACGTAATTTCAGTTTTTAATAGAAGTGGGCACAAGTTTTAACCATTCCAAATTGGTAACATAAAAAATAATGTTTTCTTATGCCTATAAATAACTCAAAGAGAGTCGCTATATTTCGAAAATTTTATAGTGCATAGACAACATTCTCTTTCCAATCAGAAAATATGCTGTTGAAGATAACTGAAGCATTTTCTCTGTCCCAAAATTAGTGATAACTGTTGAAGTTAGACCCAATTCCTTTTTGTTCATAATATAATTCTAGATTATGTTATTATATTAATTATGATATTATAATGTTTTATTTTAGATGCGTTGCGTAGTCACATAGACCATGGTGTTGAGCAAAGCTAATTATTATATTTTCTTATTATGAATTAACAGTGATTGAATAACTGTTTAATGTTGTCAAGTGTATTATAATAAAGTCTTTTTATTGCAGTTGTTAATTAGCAATATGGTTTTTCTTTTTAGAACAATGATAACCGGGACTCGAACTTATGCGCTAAAAAATATTTAAATATGTGCATACGTATGCACTAAAAAAAAAAAAATATGCAATATTATTATATAGTTTAATATGCAGGCCGGCGTCGCGGAAGAATGCGAAAGCAGTTCCCATGGCGCCGACGGTTGAAAACTGAAAAAAAAAAATATGCAGTTATTTTAAATACATATATATATATATATTTTAATTAGCTTAAAAATTAATTTTTTAATTCGGTAAAAATTTAGGTATAATTTTTTATTTTTGGTTTGTAGATCTTGAAACATTTTTCAATTATTCACAGCTCTAATTATAAAAAAATATAATGCATCAAATAGGTACAGCAAATCATGTTATATATTTACCTGAATTACCTTTATTGAGTGATTAGATTTTTTTATACCGGGTCGGTAAATTGCAATCAATTCTGAAAGGTGTGGCGGCTCTTTATTTTTAAATTGTTTAAATTATTGATTTACTTATATAGTATTCATTAATATGCTTAAAATCTTTAAGCATACAAAATCATGTAAATTTAGTCAAATAAATATGCATCATACATTTTTTATATTTGGATTGTATGTACTATGAAACAAATTTGTGTCAAATCAGAAATTAATATGCCGTTAATTAAGCAATATGTAATACATTATGTTCCAAGCCCTGGTGATGACAAAAAAAAAAAAAAAAACAACTCGAAAGTCTAAAATAAGCTTACTCCATCAGAAATTATTAAAAATTTGTAAATTATTTTTGAGTTAGAAATTCATAAAAGTTTTCTTTTAATAACTAACATAAAAAATTTTAAAAGAAAATTCCTTACCAGTTTTTCTACCTTTCACAAAAAATGATCCAACATTATTGATGAATAACTAATAAAAATATATGAAGACTTTACTCTTGTACTTTTATTTTACAAAAGATAATTTTCACAGCTTTTGATAGAGATAAGACAGTTATAGCGTTTTTAAATAATTAATTAACTGAAACCATAACTTACTAGTATAATGCTAAATATATTATTAAAACTTATATAAACTAAATGAAAACAATTTTAACATACTTATATATATATATAATAATACTAATAATACTACAATTAAGACTATCTTTAATCGAGAACATGTAAAACGTGACAATTTTATGCATAAGTTTCCCCATCTGCCCGAGTAACCAATGGCAACCATTTATATACAAAAAAAAGTTGCAATTTCCACAGTGAACTCAAAATTCATGTTTGGAGGTCCTCATTAAAATGTAATTTTGGAAAATCTTTTCATAGTGGGTTTTTTCATCATAAAACAACTACTGACCTAATTTCATACTCATGGCTTCACCTGTTACGGCAAAGCAATGATGAATGTGTCAGTTTGTCAGTCACAACAAGTTTTTTTTTATATAATATACAGATATACTATGTTAAATTAATTAAAAAAAATAATTGACTAAGCTTATAGTTTTCAGTTTTTAAAAATGTTACAAGCTCAACATTAAAAAAAAAAAAAATTATTACAAAAGATAATTGCATTGATTATAAATACTAGTGATGGGCAACAATTTTGATAATTTGATACAATTATATCGATGTCATGACAAATTATTGATATCAGTATCGTTTTATATATCGGGAACTATTTTTTTTTTACTTATCTTCAATTAGCTAGGTAAAGCAAATTATTGAAATAACAATTATTAATTTAATATTTATATATTTTATTAATTTATAATTATTTAGAATGTGTATGTGTATTTTCAATATTTTTGTTAATATTGTAAAACTTTTGATATTGCGATAAAATATCGGAAAAATATCAATATACAAAATTATTTCATTGTCTTTCACAATAACCAATTTCAAATAGAGAAAATTTAATTCTATTGTAAAATGTTCAAAATATTATTTTTTGTATTTACATTGTGTTTTTAATTATTTATAACAAAAAAAAACATGTTGAAACAATGAATGACTGAAATGGAAATAATAAATAATAATGCAAAATTGTATTTTGTAGGATAGAGGAACTTCTATACTTTAAATTAATTAAATGTTACTTGACAAGCGGTTATTATAGAATTAAGTTAGGTAAATAAAATCATATTTACTTCTTAAATGCTAAATTATGATAAAAAATTAAATGTTATCTGATGGTAGTCTCCTTACGTGCAGCATCTTGTAACAATAGTGTATCAACATAGTTAACTGGAAGTTGTACATACCGAACAACTGAACCTCTGATGAAAGATTCTGACACATAACTCTAAAATATATGAATAAAACTGTTTATTTATATTTTTACCATTTAATTACAAAATTACCATGTAAGGGTATTTTTCTGGATCATGTATACAGATGTCTGTAAGTTTTATATTCAAAAATTGATCAACGGAATGCAATTTTCCAGTGACACTAAAAAAACATAGAATTATAAATAAGTAATAACTAGATTTTATACAAGTCTGATTAGTTACAAAAAGCTGTTACTTACCACATGTCATTCTTAAGTTCAACTATAACCTCATGTCCCACAAGTGTTTTAAAAAATGAGTAGAATAGCTGTGAACAAAAAATTAAACATATTTTCTAACAAATATTAAATTTTACAATAGAAACTATAAACTAATAATGTTTTAAACCTCCACAGAAATCAGTATAGAACTATGTTTTATATTCTGAGCAATGAATGTATTAATTTTAAAAGGGCATGTTTATTAAAAAAAAATTGTTTGTATCTATTCACACGATAAGTAGTTGAAATATTGCTTAGATTTTCAACTTCAGTATCTTGGTTTTGATTTCTCATTCACCGATTTTCTTATTTTGTTGTAATTCATAAACGAATAACCGTAAATACTTGAAATTTACATGATATGTTTATTTTATCATTTTCTATACATGATACAATTTTTAAAAAATGTTGACTCGTTTCAAGTTGGTTACAGACATTCTCAATTTTCAATGTTTCAGTTTTTTTACATTGTTACAATATCACTTAAAAAAAAATATATTTATCATGTAGGGTGATTCTTTTATCATGAAACACTCATAATTTCAAAAAGTATGAATTTTTTTATATGGTTTCAAGTTGTAAACAAAACAACGTTTTTATTATAAAATTATATTTTTAAATATTTTTAGATTCTGAACGGAACAAGGAAGCTAGTGGTTATTAATTATCCTGTATACAAAATTTCTATCAGAAAGAGTGATTCAATATATTTTAGCAAATTGGATCAAGATGGTACATTAGATTTATTAGATAATATTTCGATTTTCTCAATTGATATTTAATGCCAAGGAAAAAACCAGCGATAAATTACGAAAAACAGGATTTTAATTTCTAACGCTTTGTGTATCATAATAGAAACGAATAAAAAAAGGTGGGTAAGTGGATGTCGCTCTGCTGTACAGTAGGTTACAAGTGGGTCACTGTATAATGGATGGTATTAAATTTGAATTCAATGATACAATATCATTGTATAAGAAAAACGATTCTGAGCGAAGACGGTATGTCAGTCTAGGTTTAAGACATATTATATATATATATATCTATGGTATTAAATTATATGGAATTTATGAATAAATTCCTTAAAATATGCGCAGTCTTATAATGAGCATACTTCTTATTCCTTATACTATGGTAGATTGTATGGATAGGCCATAATATTTTGATTTTTCAGTTTCATATATCCCCGAATAATATTTTTAAATTGCAACAAAAACAAAGATCGTTAATATTGATTTTAATATGTAATTTATGAATTTAAAATGTCTGTAAAAAATAACTGTGTTCATATATTTTTTAGATTTTTGGTTACAGTATGAACTATTTATGAGAACATTTGTTTTAAATTTGCAATCCTTAGCTATAAAAAACTGAACATTTTATAATTTATTAATTACAATGATTGATAATTTTCGAGATTTTGATTAATTTTGTCAAAATTCAATGTTTAAATGCTTATAAAAAAAAATTGTGTCTATGTAATATTTTTCAATTGCTACTGTAACAATATATCAGGAGCCTTGTATTAAATTTTTACACTTTTTGGCCCAACAGATAAAACTTAATTGATATTTATAGAAAAAAAACTAAAAAAATTGAAAACGGAAAATGCCCGTAAACAGCTCAAAAAGAGTCGAAATATTTTCAAAATTGTACAGTGTATAGGAAATGCTAATCTGAACATTCAGTGAGATTTTCATGTATCTTTAGTTATTCGTTTTTGAATTACAACAAAATAAGAAAATCGCTACATGAGAAATCAAGTGAATAGCTTATAAAAAAAAACTGTGACTAAGGATTTTTAATATTTTTCATCTGTCTTTGAAACAATATAGTAGGCGCCTTGTATTAAATTTTCAAGTATTTTTACTCAACAAATACATTTTTATTGATATTCATAAAAAAGAAAATTAATAAAATTGGAAACTGAAAATGTCCCTAAACAGTTCAAAATAAATCAAAATATTTAGAAAATGCAAATACAAACAACCACTGAAAATTTCATGTATCTACAGTCATTTGTTTTTAAGTTACACCAAAAACCAAAATCGATTTTCTTGAAAACACATTTTGCGTAAAAATTCCCGTTTTTCCTTAATTTTTTTTTTGTTTTTCCCGGCGCTTTTGAAAACTACTAGGAAATTTAAATTTTGACCTCCCCAATGCACCAACGATATTCACTTTCCAATCGAACAAGATACTGAAGTTGAAAATCGAAGCATTATTTCGACTATTTATCGTGTACACAGACACAAAAAAAATAAAAAATAAAAAAAACACATCATTGTAAATTCAATACATTCATCGTTTCACTCAGAATCTAAAAGGTGCTCTGCTGTATAGTAGGTTACAAGTGGGTCACTGTATAATGGATGGTATAAAATTTGAATTCAATGATATAATATATTTGTATACGAAAAACAGAAAATTCAAATATAAACAACCAGTGAAAATTTCATGTATCTACAGTCATTTTTTTTTTAAGTTACAGCAAAAACAAAATTCGAATTTGTGAAAAATCTATTATGCGTAAATATTCCCGTTTTTCCTTAATTTTTATTTTTAGATTCTGAGTGAAACGATGAATGTATTGATTTTACAATGATGTGTGTTTTTTTTTTTATTTTTTATTTATTTTTTTTGTGTCTGTGTACACGATAAGTAGTCGAAATAATGCTTCGATTTTCGACTTCAGTATCTTGTTCGATTGGAAAGTGAATATCGTTGGTGCATTGGGGAGGTCAAAATTTAAATTTCCCAGTAGTTTTCAAGAGCGCCGGGAAAAACAACATAAAAATTAAGGAAAAACGGGAATTTTTACGCAAAATCGGTTTTCCAAAAAATCGATTTTGGTTTTTGGTGTAACTTTAAAACAAATAACCGTAGATACATGAAATTTTCAGTGGTTGTTTATATTTGCATTTTCTATACACGATAACATTTTCAAAATATTTTGATTTATTTTGAACAGTTTAGGGACATTTTCATTTTTCGTTTTTTTTTAGTTTTTTTTCTAGAAATATCAATAAAATTTTATTTGTTGGTTGCGAAAGCTTGAAAATTTAATAGAAGGCTCCTAATATATTGTTTCAAAGGCAGATGAAAAATATTAAAAATCTTTAGTCACAATTTTTTTTATAAGCATTTAAAGTTCAAAAATTGACAAAATATGGAAAAATCACATTATTTTGAGTTAAGAATTCGTAAAAATTTTTCTTTTTAAATCTAAGATTTGAAAATCTAATACAAGATTACTCATAAGATTGGCTACCTTTATCAATAAAAAAATCTCTACCGGAAAGTCAAATTAAATTTTTATGAGCGTTTGAAATTCAAATTTTTACAACATTGGATATTCACTCGATTTCTCATGTGGCAATTTCCTTTTTTTGTTGTAATTAAAAAACGAATTACTGTAGATACATGAAAATTTCACTGATTGTTTATATTAGCATTTCCTATACACCATACAATTTTGAAAATATTTTGACTCTTTTTGAGCCGTTTACGGACATATTCAGTTTTCAATTTTTTTAGTTTTTTTTTTCTATAAATATCAATTAAGTTTTATCTGTTGGGCCAAAAAGTGTAAAAATTTAATACAAGGCTCCTGATATATTATTACAATATCAGTTGAAAAATATTAAAAATACATAGGCACAATTTTTTTTTATAAGCATTTTAACATCGAATTTTGACAGAATTTTTCAAAATCTCGAAAATTATTAATCATCGTAATTAATAAATTATAAAATGTTCAGTTTTTATAGCTAAGGATTGAAAATTTAAAACAAATGTTCTCATAAATAGTTCATACTGTAACCAAAAAATCTAAAAATTATATGAACACAGTTATTTTTTACAGACATTTTAAATTCAAATTTGGACTAAATTACATTAAAAAAAACCTAGAATAACTATTTTAGTTATTTTGTTGTGATTGAATAATATTATTCGGGGGTACTTGAAACTTCTAAAGTGTACTATTATATATCTATGATAGTATCACTTTTTTTTATGTATAACGCGTTATAAGTACCTAATGGATATTGTGATTTGATTAATTTGGAATTTATTATAGGTAGGTACCTATTATAGGTCAAATTTTGGTTTAGTACCATAGATATGTATATAATATGTCGTATACCTAGACTGACATACCGTCTCCGCTCAGAATCGTTTTTCTTATACAATGATATATCGTTGAATTCAAATTTAATATAATCCATTATACAGTGACCCACTTGTAACCTACTGTACAGCAGAGCGACACCCACTTACCCACCTTTTTTTCTTTGAAAATTACCGGGAATTTTATATTTTGATCTCCCCAATGCACCAACGATATTCATTTTCCAATCGAAGCATTATTTCGACTACTTATTGGGTACAGACACAAATAAAATAAAAAAATAAAAAAAACACACATCATTGTAAAACCAATATATTCATCGTTCCCCCAAGATTAAACACATACAAATTAAGGAATAACGGGAATTTTTACGCAAAATCTGTTTTAAAAAATTCGATTTTGGTTTTTGGTGTAACTCTAAAACAAATGAATGTATGTACATGTAATTTTCACATTTTCTATACACGATAAAATTTTTAAAATATTATGATTTGTTTTGAACTGTTTAGGGACATTTTCATTTTCCATTTTTTTTAGTTTTTATTCTAAAAATATCAATAAAATTATATTTGTTGGTTTCGAAAGCTTGAAAATTTAATAGAAGGCTCCTAATATTTTGTATTCAAATGCAGATGAAAATTATTAAAATCCTAAGTCACAGTTTTTTTTTATAAGCATTTAATGTTCAAAAATTGCCAAAATATTGAAAAATCACGAAAATTAGCAAATTATTTTGAGTTAAGAATTCGTAAAAATTTTTCTTTTTAAATCTAAGATATGAAAATGTAATACAAGATTCCTTATAAGTTTGTCTACCTTTATCAGATATAAAAAATCTCTACCGGAAAGTCAAAT